CAGGAATGCTAGCACTCTGTATGCTGATCATGGGGCTCATCTACATGGCACCTACTTAAGAGAGGCATCTTGACAACTCTTCCCCTTTGCCCTGCCCTTCTCCCACATCCTCAGGTACTGTTCCTTCAGCAACAGGGACTCTAGACTCCTCTATCACTACCCTGTCACTGCTCTACATCCAGGTTATGCTATTCCTATTTCCCTCCTGCTCTAAATCACAATGGAATTTGGCCTAACCAACTGACTGGAACTGGGGGCAAGGCCCAAGCTCCAGTGCCGATTGCAGCACATGCAGCTGAATGGAAAAGTATAAGCACTAGCTCATTCAATCAAGGTCTTAATTCATCCTGGAAAGGTTGGGGAAAACCCAATTTTAAGGTGCCTTTGAATATATTACCAAAGAATTGCCAATCACCCAGTGTCACCTGTTGCCTAAGATGGGTCTTGGGCTTATCTGCACTACACCTCATGCAAAAAAAAGCAGAATGGACAAGACATATCTGTACACTGTCCTGATTTCACTATAAGGTGCTGACAGAAGTGAAGTTTTGTCACATGACTGGCTACTAAAAGTGCTCTACAGCTGTGCACTAACGGAAGTGCATGGCTGCAGAGTGCTTTAAAAAGTGCCTGATTGCACAACAAATGAACCTGCATTGCATGAGGGTTCAGATGAAGGTGCAGCAAAGCAGAGCACCTTCATTAACTTCTATTAGTGTATGCCGGGAGCATGGCTGGGCTGACGCAGCCCAACCCCGCTCCTGGCACTGTGTTCAGAATGGGAGGGGGGGAAAGAGGGGAGGGAGTTCCCTCTGGGATTTGCCCAGTCTGCACTGTAGGGTGGGACAGGTGGATTGGAGCCCCCACCATTTGCCCTCCCCTCCCAGAGCAGGCTGGGCAAACCCCAAAACATACCTCCCTCCCCTGCCTTTTCCCCCTCCCATTCTAAGACAGCACAGGAGTTGGGAGAGGTGGGGCAGGGCTAGGGGAGAGAGGCTGGATCAGCTCCAAAGTGGAGCCCAATCCCCCATCCTCTCAAATCAACAGCAAAAGACTGTTGGGTTGGAAGGGGCAGCTTAACTCATGAAGCTAGAGCGCCGCAGGGAGCTGCATGTCTGTCAGCAGCCACAGACACAGCAAATCTAACATGCATGGGCATTACAGACATGCTCTAACACAGGAAAAAAGTGTGGGTTTTTTTTTTTATTTTGCTTTGTTTTGCAGTGTCAGTTGCAGAAGCTTTTGCATGAGACCAATTTTTGTGGGGAAGAATCTTTTTCAGTCTCACTGTCCCAATTAGCAAGTGATCCACCAGAACTGAGCTTATGGGTGAAATGATTGAAACCAAAGGGATGCTGACAGTTAACCCTCTTTTCTTAGGGATGAGAGCAGGGGTTTCTACAATCCATCCATCCCTTCTCCCTCTAATCAAGATTCAGAACAAAGGAGCCAACTCCAGGGAGACGCAGTGAATAAAAAATGTCTTATTCTTCAGGGTTGATTCACTGGGCTGAACTGAGCTAAGATGCAAAGCTGGTAAAAAGAGAAAGACACAAGCTGTTTCAAACTGCAAAGCTTTTTCTTCCTTGGACAGACTCCTTCGACTTTTTATTTTGGCTACACGGAAACAGATGCGACTTCTCAACCAAGGACAATTTTGGCTGAGTAATTTGTTAGAAAGACAAACTTTTCAGATCCATTTTGTCCAGGGAGCAGCCTTGAGACATTAGGCAATTCACTTTACAGCTTTTTTTTCAGCTTTTGCTCTCCAGATAAATGGACAAAGTCAGCTGGAAACTTCATGGTCAGTGTTTTGAGTGAAGGGCACACTGGAAGCACTAAGGGAACATCTCCCCTAGATGGGTCAACCCTGCTAAAGGTGACACAAAACTAACTATTGTTCAGTATGATTACTGTGATCTCTGCAACAGGCTGGAAAATACAAAGGAAGGGAAATTGCTACTTATCTTCCAAAGCCATCCTTTGATTGAGCCTTTTCTCACAAAGAAAAGCAAACAGAGAATTTTGAGCTCCACAGAAAGGGGAACTGTGCAATTTGCTAACACATCAAGGTTTCCATTGCAAGGATCAGAGTAGTTAAATACCTCTGACTCAATCAAGATTGTCTCAGTGCAGAGGAGGAAGGTAACACTCCAAAACAGACAGGGCTCTGTACTAGAGATGAATACTAGAGAACAAATGCTCCAGGGCCAAGCACCTGTGAACTTTGGAGAGGGTTTGGTGCTGAAGCTTGTGGCTTCACCCTGATCTTAATGGGCCAGCTAGTGCTATGCTGTTTTCCCCCAGGTGATTATTTGCACCATAAATGTGAGGTTATAGTTCTTATTCAGAAAGTAGAAGAATCATCATTTTTCCAGCACAGTTGAATGCTTCCTTTATATGTATGTAGTGCCTGGACATGATGGGGATAGGTGAGCTATGACGAAATTAAGGGGAGGTAGGGAAAGAGGGTTAGGAATAAAAAGAAAAATTAAAGAGGGTTAGGAATACAAAGCAAAAGGAATAAGGAGGAGAGGCAACAGTAGTACAAGAATGGCAACAATATGGGGCAGGCCTGTAATATGCAGAACAGGCATACTATGGTGTCTGCCAAGGCTGATTTCTCTTTATAATTCATCTACCTCCAGAAGCAAAGCTCCACCCTCTCCAACTCCTCAGTAGGATTCCTTGCTTTTTCAAACAGTCTTGCCTGGCTGAGCCTGAATGGGTTTGTGAAACCAGAAGTCCATATAACCAACAATGGTCCCTGAGTGCCACGCCAATCCCCTTCCTCTGCTCAATATGCTGCTCTGCTCTCCACTTCCAGCCCTCTTTGCTGCCCTGCTCTGTGCTTCCTGCCCTGTGCTCCCTGCCCAACTGCTGCTCTGCTTTCTGCCCTATTTATCTACTGTTGTGTTCCCTGCTCCCTCCAGGATCTGCCGCATGCCGCACACAGAGGCTGTCCATGCTACTTGTGGCACGTGTGCCATAGGTTGGCCACCCCTGACACAGACAAACCTTCCAAAGCCCTACCTGTGGTCCCTCACCTGGGTGTTTATTGCCTGCTTGAGCTTGACGCTTGCTGTCAGAGAGGCTGAACAAAGCTGCAGTTGATATGGGGAGATGAAAGTCCTGACATGTGAAGTATTTTTTGTAAGTGGCAGAAGGGCAAAGAAAGAAGAAACCCTGAAATCAGACAGCAGCAGTGATTCCATCTTGTGATGATACAGGGTATTTTATGATCAGAAGTGACTGGCTTATTTTACTGCAAGAACCAGGTCAGAATGCTTGTAGTTCAGGGTTAATGTACTTGGTGTCTTCTCTACAAGGCTAGGCATTACTGCTTTGGCTTCTCTCTCTCATTTAATGAGGTGAAACAAATATACCACCAGGCAGCAGAAGTGACTGCAACCCCAAAGTGTCTGCTTCATCTTAACAACATTATATTAACAACTTTTTACAGAAGCAGGACACTGGGTACCGTGGTTCCCCTACTTTACCTGTGACAGGTTAGGGTGCTCTATTTTGTGTCGGGGTTGACAGTAGTTTTACTGAGAGGTTAGATTATGAATTTGTATGGGATGGTTTGGCTAGGGATGATCCTGGCTCAAGCCGGGGGCTGGACTAGATGACCCCTGTGGTCTCTTTCAGCCCTACTTCTCTATGATCTGTCCAGCAGGCAGGTGGAGCACTGGCTCCATACTGCATCAGAGGCACTGCTGTTTTACTAACACCACTTTCCATGGTATTAAGTGGAGAACAGGCCTCTCATCATAACATTCAAGATCTGGATTTAGCCTCATATCTGACCTTTCTCAGATATTAGACCCTGCTTAGTCTTGGACACTAGACAGGATCACAGCAAAAAATGCTGCTAAAAAAAAAAAAAGAGCAACCCCCATTTGCAATCTAGAGATCACTTGCATGGGTATGGACTGCAAGTCCTCAAGTTCTGCATACTGTATTTGAATCTGTAGCACAATCAATAGCCCACTGGCGATGCGTAGGGGTTGCATGTGCACCCCCTGAGATTGGCAGTGCTCCCCCTGCAAAAAGCACCACTGACGCTGTTGGCAGTGCCTGTGGGTGGTCGCCGCTCGCCACCCTGCCCCCCCTCACCACTGACACTGCCGGTGGCGTCTGCAGGTGGTCCCTGATCGCCCCTGGCTGCTGCCAACGTTGCTGACGGCATCTGTAGGTGGTCACTGACCCCTGGTAGGCACTTGCCACCCTCCCCCCTGCCACCAACACCACCGTGGCCGCCTCTGGGAGCTCCCCGCTCAGCCTGCCCCTGCCACCGACACCGCTGAGGCTGCCTGTGGGAGCCCCCTGCTCACACCCATCATGCCCCCGCCGCCAACACTGCTGCCGCCTGCAGGCAGTCGCCGTGCCTCCCCAGGCTCTGGGGGCATGTGACTTTCATGCAATAGTTATTTTCAATTCAGACTAAGACTTAAAAGAGGTGTCGTGTAGACACACTAGGCATGTCAGGCTATGTTTGGTCAGCCTGAAAGCTGGAAAGCAAAGAAGAAATACAGGGATATTCTGTATCTAGTAGCCTCATTGAAGAAATTCTTTGATCTGTGTCACAGCCAAGTCCTTTCTCTTCTTTAATTCAAGGGGCATCATGGGCTCTGGGCTTTCATGCAGGGCCAGAAGAAAGATACAGACAAGCTGCCAAATTTGGCTCTGCTGTCAGCGTGCTGTTCTGACCTGCTGCTTGGGACTGGACTCTAATCTCTTTTGTTTAACTACCAATTACCCTTAGCAGGAGATATCAATTTCTCAGGCCTTTTCAGTTATTCATGGTACAACATGTCCTGGTAACCCTGATGTCCCTGGGAAAGGCTCCAAGGGCATTCCAAGTGAAGAGCCAGGTTCTCTTGCTCCATAATGCAGGGTCAGAATCTCCTCTTTCTTACACCAGGTTTATGGTGTGACCACACAGACACAATGGTGTTGCTCCTGATTTACACCACTGCATGCAAGGGGAGAATCTCAACTCAGCTCACCATTTTCCTTCTTCCTGAGTGGGCAGAAGATTTAACCTTATTTTTCCCAACTTCTTCTTCAGACCACCACTTAATCTGCTCCTTTCCCAGAAACAACCCAATGGCTCCATGACACCTTCAGATGCCATCCCAAGCGTGTTTTGTTCTTTATTGTTGCTGTTTCCAGTACTTTAAAAAGGGATAAAACCCAGTGGAAGAATTCTGGGTGAAACCACGAACTCTTGCCACACCAGCCACTGAACTGAGATCTAGGGGCCTTGTTGCATGGGACACTTAGCACATATTTTATATAGATCACAGTAAGCACTACTATGAGTTGGAACTTGTTCTGACTGTCGGAGATCAGAGCAGCGCCGGCAGCTGCTTTCTGACCCCGCCACCGGAGCAGTAAAACTTTTACCTGACAGGCGGGTAGTGATGGATGGGGTGAAATTAACCAGGCACAGACGTGTGTTGGTTACAGGAGATTGTTTACTTATGTCGCCCAGATAGTGACGTGCGACGCAGGCTGAGCCTTTGTTTCTGTTACAGTTGCTCCGGTTACAGCGATTATAATCAAGCGTATGGTTTCGGGTTACAGCTAACGATGACGGACGTGGCGCCGGGAATGAGCTATCGTGCCTGCAGGGCTTTGATACGTCAAGATTTACGGTGACGGGGAGTACTGACAGCTGATCAGACCGTCAATTTACTCTGGCGATGGACTCAGGTCTCTCCTCAGAGATTTCTCCGGGGTTCTCCGCCTTGGGCGGAAACTGCTGAACTATTTATAGACAGAGGTGTCTGACGGAGATACCCAATGATGAACCGTTATGTGGAATCTTTAATTTTCTGGCAAGCAGCAGTTCTTTGTGCTCTCAGGTTGCTATCAGGTTACAAGGTAGTGGGTTAGGTTTTCTGCCTGTTACGTATGAGGTTATGATGAGGGGCTTACGCTTGTTTCTTGACCAATTGCAGGGATTTATGGCAGGGCTATCCCCTTTCACCCTGGCCAGTCTTAAGTTTTGTTTCTTGTTTGTGACATGGGCATAAATTATATACAGCTCTCCGCCAGGATTTTGTTTCAGGAGTTTTTTTGCAAGGATTTCTTTTAACCCTTAGTTGACTACTTGAATGGTATCTCTTGCTAGTGGCATGGGCACTGATTAACTGGGTTGTGACACTGACCAGTTGCTTACTAACACTTACTACAATCAGGGCAGGGCTGGAGCCAGTTTTGTGGTTGACAAACAGCTGCTTGTTGGCCCCAGTCCCTGCACCTCACTGGAGCCAGTGAGGACTGCTCATATTATCTCTATGGAGCAGTCCCACGACAGAAGAACACATGTTAAAGACATCTGAAGATACTCCTTAGCAGAAAAGTCCTAACTTTGCTATGAGGTGTTGGCATTTAGCATATGTTTTACTGCTTGAACATGTAGACATTGGCATTTTAAGTGCAGTTAACACATCCTAAGTGTAAAAGTACGACAAAGCCTTTAAACTGTAAACTCTTTGGGAGAGGGACTATCTGTGTGTGTACAGCAGCTTGTACAATAGGGTCCTACCCTATGACTGCAGTTTTGAGGCACAACTAGAATACAAACCCTGCCACCATTGCTTTTCAGTTCCTCCCAGGCTGTATTGGAACTGGCAACTTTTAGCAAGGGGCTGTCATGTGATAAATGTTAGGCACTTTAAAAAAAAAAAAAAGCAAAAGCAAACCACACACTTTGCTTATCTTCCCCCTCTCCTCCCAGCTGTACTGTTCCTCCCTGTGGTCAGGCTTCCCTCCTCCTCTGCTCTGTCACCTGGCTTCTTTTTTCCTTGACTCTCCCCCTTCCCCCGTATTATCTGATTTGCTTTGTCCCCATCTTCCCTGCATGATTCTCTCCTGGAGCGGTTTGGTACCTCTGGATGTCCGGATGGCTGAAGTTCCTGAGGGTGGCTTCTATTCTCCTCCCCTTATTTAGCAGTGGGCTTTAGGAGCATCAGCTGTGCCAGCTTTCTTAGTCCTCAGGGAACTTTCAAATTGGTAGAAACAGCTGGCAACCAGGAGGAATATCCCACCTTATGTGACCAGCCATCCTCCTCCTTGCAGGCCACCAGCAAGTGATCTGCAGAATGCATGTGGCCTGTGGACTGACCACAGGTGGCGAACCACTGCTCTAAAACCTCCAGTCACTCATTAAATAAATGGGTTATCATAGTGGGGAGGCAGCGGCACTTGCTCCAGTATCTGGGGTCTTCTCAGTAATTATTAAGTCAGGCAGTATTATTTTTGATGTGACCTTTTTTTTTGGTCTAGTAGCTATTTCTAATAATTGGAAATAGCTTGGCAAATAAGCTGTGGAGAATGGTAAAACAGAATGGTTAGAAAAAGATGGGCTGGCTCGGAGGAGAAAAAAGAGGCTGCAATACTAGCAGAGAGAAATTGGGTCCCCTTCCCTCCCTCTCCCAACTGCTTACCGGTCTGGGCCGTGTCTCCCTTAGGAAGGATTTCAGGTCCCCTCCAGCCATGAGCTCCAGCAGGATGAAGCGGGGCAACGCCTGCAAGCTCACCCCAATACAGCGCACAATGTTCTGGTGGTTGAACTTGCTGCAGAAACAGAGACGCTAAACTAGAGAACAGCTCTGAACAGAGTTACGTTAACCATGACCTGTACCTGTATCACCACTGGCAGATCCCATGGCCAACACTGGGACTACAGGCAGCAGCCTTGATTCTCTATTATGTTGTCTTTGTGTTGGTGCAGGAGTAAAGGTTGGAGAGGAAGGCTTTCTGTCATCTTTGTGGTCCTCTTTTTTTGGGTCCATTTGGGAGTTGGCACAATCTAGGGATCCTTGGATGCCGAAAACAGGCAAAGTACACTTTTTACCCTTTCTTCAGTGCCTCTCTCCCAGGTCCCCGTCCTCCATGCCTGGGGCTGGGAGCAGGAGTGACACACAGTGTTGAATGTTGACATGGGAACTTATGCAGGGGAAATTCTCACAGGTCCTCATTCTTTTTAAGGCCTTTTGGTGCTTTCAGGTCTCTGTGGAATTGAAATTTGGCCCTCTGGGTTCTGTGACTGTGCCACTGACCCACTTTGTGGGCTACGGAGGGCAATATTGTCAGGTTCATCTATTGATTTTGGCTGTCCAACCTAAGAAACATAGGGTTTGATTTTTCTCATGTGCCAAGATCTAAGTGAAGTCAGTGAGAGCAGCAATGATGTTTGAAAACTATGCTATGAGTGTTTGAATCTAGGCACACTGAATTTGAGGCACTTAAATTCAGTGAAATCTTCTGCCCTTTACATTTCTGTGTCTCAATTTTATCATCAGTAATAAAAACAAATCAAACCTTAAAAGGGGAATAATGCCACATACCACTGTGAAACACACTCAGCAAGTGTATTGTACTGACACTGTCCCACGTTATACCTTTCATTCTTTCATGGGCACTGCCATGCCCTCTGCCTACACAAACACTTGGTTTTATACACACACCTAATAATTAGAGCTTCCATGAGGAAATCCAGCTCATCTTGCTCCGAGCACACCTCTGGCAATGTCTGGAGAAAAAAGTACAAAAAAGAGGTGAGGGGGAGGGTTATTGCAGGACCTATCTTCCACTGAAAGCACTAACACAATCTGTTGTGATCCATGCCTCCAAACCAAACCAAGCATATTGCTGTTGTTAGACTGGGTTGTGAAACCTGTTGGCAGGCACAGGGGATTTGCTATTAGCCAACTGTCCTTCCAGCAACACCCTGTACTGAGATACTTCACAGAAACAGCCCTAAGTGCAAACAATTAATTGGGTGATGCATCATGCACTGGGGGTGGGCAACAGACTCCACTGGGTAGAGCATGATTCAAGGTGAGGACAGATTTCTTCCTGACCACTGCATTCTGCAGCCATTGTGCTGGAAATAAGCATCTGTTCACCAGCTGAAGGTTTCCTCAGAGGGTATAACCCCTTAAGTACTAACATTATAATGGACAGGAAGCCTTTCACTCAGTACTGAATTCTCTTCCTTCAAAGTGAGAAGAATGATGGTGGCTGGGACTGATGGGGATGTTTGTTCAGCCTTCTCTGGTGAGTAGATGATGGCTATGCAGCAACGACTTCAGGGTGGGGATAGAGTTCAGAGAGCAGATGAGAGGGGATATAGTGGGTTCTTACAGAGGTAGAAATGAGCCCTGGAAGAAAGAGGGCAAAGAAGAGGAGACAACCACCCATTGCCATATGCATGTGGACCACCACTGGGCTGAGCTAAGATGGAGAAGACATGGATGCCCATCACTACATCCACAGATCAGCTCACCATTAACACAAAAACACAGAAGGTTGGCTTCCCACACAGACAAGATGCAAATCACCACAGCTCATTAACAGCTTTTTATACATTTTAACAGCTTAATGGTTATGGAATCAGCTACCCAGGGCCTTCAAGTACTTCCTGATTCTCAGGGCTCATCCTTCCCAGCCGTGTGTGAGTCAGCTTTGCTTACAGGAACATCAGATAGGTGACACATGACAATAGAGGCAAACCCATCATGTGGAAATAAAGGGCTGTGTCATGGAATTTCCTATATTTCCTATATTTCCACATATACCCTGCTGAGAAGGGGCCCTACCTTACCTCAGCTAGACTACTTCTGGTACCTTTCTGTGCCCAAGTTTTTCTCACTGCAGCAGTGAGGACAATGACACTTACTGCCAATTGCAATGGATCTTTACATCTCTGGAGGGAAAGCTCTGTGGAAGAGTGAGGTATTATTATCCAGTCTAAATGACCCTGGGGAAATCATGCCACTCACTTTTGGCTTCCATCTCTAAAACAGGGATAACATGCCCCTCTCTTCCAGCGGTGCTGGGAAAACTCAACTGTGTTTATAATACCTCATAAACAGTGGGCACTCATGCATAAACAGTGGGCAAAATGTTACCACCATGATTTTTCACCTGCCACTTACTTTCACAGCCACCTGCAAGGGACTAGGGTCGCTGGGCATCCCAATCACCTGGCCTTCATATACCTCGCCAAAGGCTCCATGGCCCAAACCCCTGGACAAACCAGAAAGACAAAGATATTTTAATGCAGAGCAGGCACATTGCAACACTGTGATGGAATATGCTCATTCATAGCTATGTCAACAATAAGAAATCTCAGAAAAAAATTCCCAACTGTAAGTATAATAGGACAAGTGAAAAAGCTGCCTAGGGAAGTTGTAGAATCTCCTTCATTGGAGGTTTTCAGGAAGAGGCTCACTGAGTTCCTTCAAGAGTATGTTTGCACTGGTTTTGTGGGACTACAGCCACATATGGAACCAGAGCTTGGTTTATGATCTTGATCTAGTCCTTCCTTAACCCACAATGTATTTAATTGCGAGGGGCAGTTGCTCTCAAAAGTAACAACTCATGGATCCTTACCCACTGAAGCCAATCTACTAGAGTTAAAGTTGGCATTACTATGTAACACACAAAGTACCAGAGTGCTCGCTATTAGTGGCAATGTTTATCATCGCTTTATAACATAACATTGGGCTAATAAATGTGGGCCTATTGGAGATGGACTTTTTGGGTTACAGCCACACAGTTAATAGTTCCTCATGCATTCAAGAAAGTGAACAAGAGGTTATGCGGTGCAGTGGAAAAATCAGTCTTGAAGCTGTGCAGTAGGTTGAACTACCTGCCCCACTTACCCCTGCCCCACTTACCTCTCCAGTTTCTTCCAACCCTACAGTGCTATGATTCTGATGTATATCAAGAGACTTGAATGCTGACCTGGTTCTAGCCGTGACTCATTTTGTAACTGGGTGAATCACTGAACCACCCTGAGCCTCAAGTTCGCCCATCAATAAAATGGGGATAACAATGGTATGTAAAACACTCTACTCCATAGGCAGACAATTATCTTACGTGAGGGCCGCTTAATGAATTTTGGTGAGCTGTGGAGGGCCGTATGGGTAGCCCTGCCCTTTGACAGTTGCCCCAACCCCTGGTCACCATCTTCAGACTGGAAGTCCCATCCCCTAACCCCTGACCTTTGCCAATGGGAGTCCTTCCCCTCGCCTCGAGGAAATACTCCTTTTGGGAATAGGGGGTTACTATCTTGGAACCAGAAAAAACAAAAACAAAGCATACACGAAAAGTTGAACACCTACTATAACATATTTTAATTTTATTACAAAAAAATTTTTGTTATGATTTGTGTTTGCATTCTGTATACAGAAGTGATTGCATGATAACTTAAAATCAATTCTTAGTTTTGTATATTGTGGGGGGAGAGTGTTTGCGTGTGGTGTGCACATGGTTTGCGTATGGCATGTGTGGCGTGTGTGTGTGGTGTGTGGGGGTGTATGTGGTATATGTGGTGTGTGCATTTGTGGTGTGTGTGTGTATGGTGGATGTGTATGGTGGGGTATGGGAGTGTGGGGGGTTGGAAGGGGGTGCAGCTGTGTGCGTGGGTCATGTGGTATGTTGGGGGGTTGTGTATATGT